GCTTTTGAAAGGTGGTTATTTATTTATTTATTTGCTTTACAGGCCATGACCGGAGGAGGTGGTTGGCCTATGAGTGTGTGGCTGACTCCTGAGTTAAAACCTTTCGTCGGAGCTACTTACTTTCCTCCTGAGGACAGGGCTGGCCAACCAGGATTTAAAACAATTCTTAACCATATTTCTAAGCAGGTTACACAACTTGTGTTGATTTATTTTTTTAGATATGATCCATTAAACTTAGCTTTAGCTCTGGCTCTGGAGCCAGAGTACAGTGTCTATTAAATTTTATTGTGCTCATTTATTGGTCAGGAGAATTTAGTTCTCTGATCTCTAATTATTCAATGTTATTTTTCATGGTTTTTAGTGGGAACAAAACAAAGAGAAGCTAAATATGCAGGCTAATGTAATCCTTAAAGCTATTCAACAACACACACAGGAAATGCACAAACCAAATGAGGCTGGTGATATGCCAAGTACAGAATGTATCGACAAGTTGTTTAATGACATGTGTACAAGTTTTGATGACGAGTATGGTGGGTATGGAGGAGCACCAAAATTTCCGCAAGCAAGTGAGTGAATTTTGGTATTAATGTTATTATTGTTAGAAAGTAACTAAAGCAAGTTTGCAGCCCATTGGACTGAACTGCAAACAACATTTTCAAGTGAACAGATAGTATGACAAAATCTTTTTCTTTCTTTTAGAGTATTTGGTTACTTAAGAAACAACTCTGGAAAGTGAGATACATCTGTTTTTTTTATTTCTTTGCAGCAAATTTTAACTTTCTATTGAGGTACTCTTGTTACAAAGCTGGCTCTGATGAAGGAAAGAAAGCTTTGAACATGGTAATCAAGACATTAGAATTCATGGAGAAGGGTGGAATACATGATCATGTTGGACAGGTTAGAAAATATTTTTGACAACAAGCGTCAGTGTGATTCTGGAAAATTTGCTTATAATAAGTACACTGTACCTAGCCCTCCCCTGTCTGGCAGACAGTCCATACATTCCCTCTTGTTTCAACCTCTCTACAATGGCCACCTCTTTACAATGGCCACTTTCTTCTATCGCCAAGGTGGCCGTTGTAGACAAGTTCAACTGTAGATCCAGTGACATAAAGTATGATAAGATAACAATCATTTTAATCATGTAGAACTGTTTATATCAATTCAAACTGTGAAGCAAACAATCTTATACTTATATTGTGATCTCCCATGGGATTTATTCATCAGCCATTTTTGGATAGTTGGACAGAGAGGTGGTTGGTGCTAAAAATGGTAATTCAACTTGAAAAGTTGGAAAGTTCACTTAAAGGTTTATTCCTTTATGCTGGGGTGGCCCAATGCCCTAGTGAGGGCACCTTGTGACTTGTATACGCAGTTGCTTGCTTGCTTGCAGTTCTTTGGAAAGTGTTGTTGCAATAGTTCCTTCCTCATGCTAGAGCATTGTCAGGCACCACCAACTCTGTAGGCATCAGTGCCCAGGCTCATCTATTGGTGATGAGTTTAAATCTTCCTGATGCTTGAGTTCTGTATGATGCTTTAAATCCTCTATTAGACCCCTTTTTTAGTGAAATAAAGTAGCACCCCACCTCTTCCTCCCTGCCTCTTTTAATTTGGAATCAAACTGTGTCAAGACTTTATAAAATACATTATTTATAACGTTTATCACAAAGGATCAAAATCTCCCTGCTGGACAGACATTTGCCTCGTTCAAAACAGAATTATAGTACATTCGTTCTCGCATGCTTCTTCTTGTTTCTTTGCTATGTTGTACTACGTTTCAGTAATTAACTAACCCCTCCCCTCTCTCTAGTATTAGTTTACCTGTTTCCATTACCTCCCAGTCATAACAACAAAATCATGTATGGTGCAATAATTATTGTTACATGTAAGTAGATCAATGCCTTGACTGTTGCCCGTGGGTCTTTCAGGGTTTTCACAGATATTCCACAGATCGCTTTTGGCATGTTCCTCATTTTGAGAAGATGTTGTATGATCAAGCACAACTTGCAGTGCTTTATGCTGATGGTTATCAGGTGAAGTAAACATTATGGACTAAGATGCCTAAACGTAAATAATGTTCATGAAAAATCACTAATTTCCTTTTTTAAAAAACACTGCTATGGGATGTCTTTTGGTGTTTCAGTTCGCTTTTGTGTTGTGGTATGAGTATTGTTTAGTGTCTTTTCAATCTTTTTTGTTTGCTAATTACATCATTTGGTGATTGCACCCATCCAAAATACCAATAATCCTCCCCGCTATGCTTAAAAGCTGGGTTCATGTAGCAGTGCTTGTTAAGTTTAATAGTATTCATTAATTGCTAAACGAGTGTTTTATAATTACTAGTGGGTACAATATGAGTGTACAGTAGGCAGGATTACCGCGGCAGTGCAGCGGGAGGTCGCGGATTCGACTCCCGGGACCAGACCAATACTTGAGGTCTTAAAATAACTGAGAAATGAAGGTAATGTCTTTGCACTGCAAGCGGCTGGTCCTTCGCGTGGCTCCGATGACCACGTAAAATGGCGGTCCCATATCCAGTAGAAGTTGTAAAAATAGTGTCCCCAATTAGTACTTTCGTGCTAAATACCTTGACACTCAAATAAAATTCATTGCCCTTCTGTGTCTTTTGCTAATCACATTAAATTTTCCTTCCGTTTAAAGGTTAGCAAGAAGGAGAATCTTGCAGAAACAACAAGAGATATCTTGCTGTACGTGATGAGGGATTTGAGTCACAAGGTACTGTTTAAACAACCCACTCGTAAGAAAAGTTTATCTCTTATTCCCTTTTTAGAGTTTAGAGAAAAAAAGGTAACAGCGACGACAACAACAAAACAAGAGAGAACTAGAGCTTGTTGATGGTTTGATTTTGTCTGCAGATGACTAGTTTCTTTCCCTACAGTTTTTACAGGGTTCGTACAGGTCATGGAAAACCGGGAAAGTCTTGTAATTTAAGAATTTTATTTTCAAGGCCTGGAAAGTCAGGGAATTCAATTTACGGTCCTTGAAAATCATGGAAAATTAAAGATTTGTTTGGATATCAGTTACTGCAGATAACAAAGCAAGGATAAAGTAAGAGAAAGTGAAGTAATTAAACAGCGCGAACGGCACGCGTTTTGGTGGATACCAGAGTTTCATTAAGTTAAATAAAATGCTAAAACAAGGAAAGTTTTGAAAAGTTTCAAAAGTGACAGTCAAACGTAAGGTCATAGAAAACTTGAAAAGGTAACAGGGAAAGTCATGGAAAGTCATGGAATTTGAAGAATTCAAAAGAGTACGAACCCTGTTGTAAGTTAGTTGTCTTGTTGTCTAGCAAATATAATGGTGGCAAAATGACAAGAAGGATAAACTACACTCACGCGGACGATTACATTTAACCTACATGTACCTATGAGTTTGCTTCCCAGTCACAGAATAGGGTTGATGTATGACAGAGCGCCAGTTAGAGACCCGGTAGCCTGCGAGCAGCCTTTTGGGGGCAGGGGTGGGGAACTCTCTCCCCACCCCCGTGCTCGTATGCTAGAGACGTGGAGTTAAAGGCTGAGGGCGTTGGTTGGGGTGCTGTCCGGTTGGAAATGTACGATATCAGAAAGGAAACTCTGAACGCCATTAAAAGGTCAAAAATAGAAAGCTGAGGCAACGGCGACGGCAACGGCAACAAAGACGGAAAAAAAGCAATAGGTTTAGACTGGCAAAACAACAACTTTGCACGTTCATCACGCTTTTTTGTACATTTCTTTGCCGTCGTTGCACGACTTCGACGTGAAAATGCCTAATTTCACGTTTTGTGGAGGCGTTAACACAAGACGACCCTCTTTTTCTTTTCCTGAACTTTAATACAGTACTTTAGAATTCAACTCCTGAAAAATTCGCCAACATTTCATAAATAGAACGAGATGGAATAAGCGCGATAAAGTTTAAAGCAGCGAGAACGCACTTTTTAACTGACGTTTCCGTAGCCGTCGCAGTCGTTGTTACTTAAGCTCCCTAATACCATTTTTAGGTCTGTAGGTTTCGTTCACTGATTAAGAGCAACTTTAAAGATATTAAAAATGCGCGCCAAAATCGTTCTAACAATGAGCTGGTCGGTGGAAACGCCGTGACACAAGTACATGTAACTTGCTCGCTGCGTGTCATGGGCTTTGGGCTGCTCTGCTAGAACTGTATATGTATGTTGATATTACAATCGTTTCCTCTTTGTCTTCTGTAGCTCGGTGGTTTTTTCTCCGCTGAAGATGCAGATTCCTTGCCCAGTAAAACTGACACTCACAAGAAGGAAGGCGCTTTCTGCGTGTGGGAAGAACAAGAGATACGACAACTGCTGCAAGAGGAACGCACTACAAGCAAATCCGGCGAAAACATACTTGTTTCCTACCCGTTTATGAAACATTATGGAGTGGAGGGTGACGGAAATGTTAAACCTCATCAGGTAAGGAGACTATATCTGGCGGCGGGTCGTTCAGTGGCTGCTTGCGGCAATAAAGGCCGGCCATTACGCGTTACCACGAGCAGATTATTGTGATAATTCTGCTGAAAGGTAGTTATTTACGGGCCCAAATTGCATTTTTGTTTTTGTCGCCCGCCATTTTTAATTCCTTCTCGATCATTCTCTACTTGGACACCTCAAGGACCGTAATTTCTGCGTGTAAACCCAACGTAAAGTTGTTCCACCTTCTAGGATCTTCCTACCTCTTTGTAAACAGTCCCTTAAAAAGCAAGTAAATTCTAAAAGTATTTTGATGGGCACTGTTATGTCGCTCGTTTTTTGTCGCCCGGTTATAAGTCCGCCGGATATAAGGCCCTCTCGTTTAAAGGCCCTCCTACATCGCCTTACAAAGATGTATAAGCCCAGGATTTTTACGGAAGTTTCCATGAATTTATATGACTAGTGTTATGTTTCCCTCCCCAGTAAGAGAAAGGTTTTAATCCTTGAGGTAATGTAGAGCTCAGCCAACGACTCGGAGGATGATTAAGGAAAATCTAAAAGTTAATTTTCATGACAATTTTATAGTCTGTTCCTGAGGGAAGTTATTGGGAGGCTTTTAAAAGGCCGACACCGACGGCAGTGAAAACGTCACTGGGAACTTTCTTCGTTTATGGCAACTGTAGGTAGTTTTCCCTGGAGTTGAATTCTTGGACCGCACCGAAGTTTAGAATGAAAGAGAAAAAACTTCGTGTTCGTATACGCGTTTTGACTTCCAACGAAAAATGTGAAATGAGGCGGAAATTTCAAGTTGTAGTCATGCAGTGACGGCAATGAAATGTACCAAAGAGTGTCATGCACATGTGGAGTTGTTGTTTTTCTTTTCAAACCTCTTGCTTTTTTGGACTCTCCCGTAGTCGTCGTTGTTTGTTAAACTTTTGGGTTTTAATTTCCCAGGACCCTCATAGAGAACTTCGAGGCAAGAACGTCCTAATTGTAAGGGGAAGCTTGCAGGACACAGCTCGATTAGTGGACGTGGATGAAGCCGTACTTAAAGAGCAACTGGCGCGAGCTCGAGAAATCCTGTTTGAGGAACGAAAAAACAGACCACCGCCTCATCTAGACACAAAAATGATCACTGCCTGGAATGGTGAGGGCGCATTTGTTTTTTTGGTTGTTTGTTTTTACTACAGGACTTAACCTTTTCATTCCCAGACGACTGAAGTTATGGCGAGATGATTTGTCATACTAACTTTTGCATCCATGGCGAAATCCTAAGATGTTACTATTCAAATGAAACCACTTTGGCAGAGCTTTTGCGTAGTGCTATTTAAATATGACGATTTTGTTTTATTTTCTTTTTTGAAAGCTTCTCTTGCGAAAGCTTCGTAAAAACCAAATTTTAAGTTATGATTCTGACCAATAACAATTTGCGCAGATAGTCAAATGAACCAATCAGATCTGAAAGAAATTCATGACAGCACAAAGCGCGGGAAAGTGGCGTTTGACGGATCATGCAGGCATAATTTTTGTAGCACCATGTCAGGAGTATCAGGCATAATGCCAGCATAATACTCCTATTTTTAGCAAAGTCAAATCGAATGGAATCAAATTGTAGTGTAGTTCTGAAATCTGTATGCTTCTTTTTTTTCAGTCAACGCAAACAGAATCTATAAAGTTGACAAAAAGGCAGACATTTTAGGAACTGAATACCTTACCGTCTTACACTACCTGTAGAGACTCGTGCCCAGTGCATTTTGAGATAATTAAAGGCATGGTTACCTATGTATCCCAGGTTATCCAGGCCCTAGCATTTTTTCCCTTCAAAACCAGTATGCAAGAAGACTGCGAAGAAATGATTACTGATTTTATAACCACAGGAGGCAAAACTGTCTTTTTAATTTTGCATAATTAGAAGCATTATACCTCCACCCGGGCATAATTTTGATCTTAATACTGTGATTTCACTTGGAACACCGAAAAGCATATTAAATACTCGAATTTGCGAGCATAATCCGTCAGTCCCTAGTGACAAACTCACGGTTGCTGTGGGTTTGCTTCCCACTGGCTAACAAGGTGGCGCGAGACTTTCCGCCAATAGAGACGACTACAAGTACAAGATTTGATGTAAAGTATTTTCGCGTATTGTCAAAAAATAGTCACCAAGAAATGCTTCACTGTACTTTTCTTCACCAGAAGAGTTAGCACTGTTATCTTTATTTGTGGAGGCTAAGCCCTGTCCCGATCGCAACATATCAAAACTGTTAACATTTGATAACTTGTTCCGTCACTACAACATTCTCGCAAAAACTCGTAGTAGAATGACGTACGGCTACCACGTTTTCCCGCCAAAATGACGTTGGTTCACGCGCGTGCACTACTTAGTATTAAGAAAATCTGGTACTCGTTGTCGTACTCGTCGTAGAATCTAAAGATCTCTAATACAGAAGCGTGGCAACAAAATAAAACCTGAATAACTTCAGATACTTGATTGTAAACAACTTGGCCAGTCAAGCTTTTTTTATAATACATTCCAGAACAACTAATTTTCTCCTTAGGGTGATCAAACCTGAGAAGCTTTCTTTTTAAAAATCATTGTCAATAATTTCGAGATTAGCGAGCATTTTTCTGGTCTTTTATAAGGCCGATTCACCTCGTTTTTACGCAAAAGTCGAACAGAAACAATAGAGTTGAACTGTCCGAATTTTTCTAATCTTTGATTTGATTAGACGAATTAGCATATATAGTAGAAGACCCTTACGTGATTCAGAGCTGCTCGGAAGGTTAGATATTGCAGCTGTGACAAAATTATGTCAAAAAGCATAGCACAAGACCCCGAGGGTACTCAACAAATGTTTATACGAGGAGGCTCCGCTCCTAGGTCCAGCCCCTTACCCTTTTATATACCATTTTTCACGAAAAAGCCCTTTCGTATACCTTCTATTTACAAATGGTACCCCTTTCACATACCTTGTTTAGCACTTTGCATACTTTTTAACTGTTTTAAATGCATTGTGTTTTAAATAGGAATCAATCACAAAAATAGAACGTTTTCTCGACTTTATAAAGCCATAAAATTCATCTGTTAGCCCTTTTAGGAGCTTTCACAAACCCAGATGACAGATTTTTTCCCCTACCCTTTTATATACTTCAGCTAGTGAAATCTCTACCCTTTCATATACCCCCCCGCGCACAAGACTTAGGACCCGTCTACATGAATACGGGAAAAAAATGTGGGGTTTCAAAAAGCTCCGGCTTCGTGTGACCAGGATCTTAGGCCTCAACCACATGAATCCGAATACAATTTTTGCATAGTGTAAAGTATTTATCATTTTATGTTCTAGGTCTCATGATTTCTGGTCTTGCCCGTGGTGGACAAGTCCTTGGTGAAGACGTGTATACAAAAAGAGCGATTAAAGCGGCAGAGTTTGCGAGGAAACACTTGTTTGACGAGAAGTCAGGGAAACTCTTACGCAGTTGTTACCAAGGGGACAACGGGGAAGTGATGCAGATGTAAGTCACGTGGGCTTTTGATAATTTCCGTTGTTGTTCATGATTTTGAGCGCTTGAAGCATAATACATGTCACTTCCAGGATCTACGCAATGTATCTGATTCGTTGAAACAAATTTTCCTCGCCGCACGACCAAAATAATCAAAAGCACTTCCTAGATCTGGGTAGTGACACGTCATCAGAATGAAATTTGTGCGCTTGATCCTCAGACGTCAGTTCGCGGTGAAATCAGTTGTGGCGTCGCGAAATGTCGATTAACTTATAATTCGCCTTAGAACACAGGCTTTGGACTTCAACGAGCATTTTGATTTCAAAGCTCGTGTTTGATTTTCCCTCTTTAGAGACACGCCCATTTTCGGGTTTGCAGATGACTATGTGTTCATGATCCGGGGATTGCTGGACCTGTATGAGGCATCACTGGACGAACAATGGTTAGAATGGGCCGTGCAGCTGCAAAATAAACTAGATGAACTGCTTTGGGACAAAGACGGAATAGGCTATTTTATGGTAACACCTGGCGACCCGTCTATTCTGGTCAAGATGAAAGAAGGTTAGGGATGTTTTGTTATAGTGGGAACAAGTTTTCTCCAATATAGGATGAAGGACCAATGCTCCGTGGTGAAGGATGTCTGATTTTTCTCTCTGATCAGATGTCGGTCCTCATTTTTTTTAACGTCGAATACAGGTATGGGAGAACAAGGGTGATACAGGTGAAAAACGGGTTTGCTTATTACTGAGGACTTGAGGTTTTGATTTGACGGCTCTCAGCGGATAAAAATATTCTTCAAGGCAAAACCTAACACTTGAACAGATAGATTTACATTATAGGTTTCCCCTTCGACTTGCCTTGGTAATGACAGGCTTAAAAAAATAACTTTCTTTCTGCCTTGTAGCCCAAGATGGTGCTGAACCAAGTGCAAACTCGTCGTCTGTAGGAAACTTGGTTCGCCTTTGCAGCTTTACTGATGACAAGAAATATCTTGAGAGAGCGGGGGAGATCATCAAAGCATCTGTTACTATGCTGTCAAAAATTCCTCTTGCTCTTCCCGAGCTGGTGTCAAACTACATAATGTACCTTCAACCTACGCAGCAGGTGAAATTTCTCCACCTTTGTTTGTGTTTGTCTAATTCCAGTACAAATTTCCACCCGCGTTTAGAGTCTTCACGGCCTGTAACATAGCCTGCGAGCAGTTTCTCTGGGGAGCTCTGGGAACTGGGGGGAGAGCAAAAGGGGGATTCTCTTGTCTCGACCCCTAAAGGCCCCCTTGGAACTTGTTCGCAGGCTAATAACATCACGAAAATTTTGTTGGGTCGTCTGAGTCGATATGACCTTTATAGGGCTTGTCCTTTATCAAGAGCGACTAAAAGGAACTGCTGTTTTGTTGGTTAAAGCAATTTCTTTTATATGTTCCTGTTGCCGTCGCCGTTATAGTTTCTTGAGCTTTTTTTATGAGGTCCGTTCTTGCGACCTTTCGGGATTGCGTCGTCGCCTGACTTTGATTTTGGCGGGAAATTAGATTCGGCCGCACGTTCGCCCCGCTCGCTCTCATGGGCGACAATAGGGAGCTCAATACACATTTACGACGTAAGAATGAAGGCGAGGCCTAAGGGTCACTTGATTTCCCGCAAACTTCAAAAAAGTAAATAAGGCGGCGAAAAAATAACGATTTGTGTTTAAGAGACAAAAAATTAACCCCGAAAGATATTCCTGAGCAATTATAGTAAATTAACGTGCCTTGGAAAGTAGACAGTAGAGGGATTAAGAGTCACGTGTACGGCAAAAGGCAAATTCAAGTTTAAAATGTCTCAGAATAGAAAATAAGCAGATAAAAACTGTCCAGAACAATTCTTATTTAAAAGACCGGCGTGAAACTACTTTTTTTGAGTTGAAGTAACCCTGGTCACATGGTATAAAGTCAGGTTTGCCGTTTAATGTAAACGTGAATCTTAATCTCTCTAGTGGAGAAACTAACCTTCGGCAAGGATCCTTCGGAAATACATGCAACGTCAAGTCTTTCCTGTTATCGGAACGATTATTACAAAGAGCAGCCGTGTAGCAGTTGTGAAAACTATGTTTTGTCGTAGTTGTAGCGTGCGCTTCTGCCTTTTTATACAGTGTGATTGCGATGTGGCCCCTAGGCTTCGCTTTCATGCTTACGCCGCCGTAAGTGTAACAACGAGAACGACAAAAACGCAGTAGGATAAGATAAGCAAAACATGACGCTTTTCTGTACATTTCTTTGCCGTCGTTGCATGAATATGACGTAAAACTTCCTAATTTCATTTTTGTGGAGGACGTAAACACAAGAAAACGACTTCCTTGTTCTTTTTCCTGAACTTCAATTCAGTCTTTTAGAATTCAGCTCCAAAAAACATATACGAACTGAACGAGATGTAATAAGGGCGATTAAGTTTGAAGCAGCGCGAATTCACTCTTTATTTGGCGTTTTTGTAGCCGTCGCCGTCATTGTTGTTTAAGCTTCCTACTCTTCAAGTGACAGCTAGCAGTCTCAGTATAATGTGGTTCATTTATCCGTAGATCATTTTGACAATTACAATTTCCTATTTAGAGTAAAATGTTTAGCTGGTTTTTCTTCTTTCTCGCAAGAGCTCCTTTCCTTTTATTAGAACATAACAACTACGACAATGTTTTTCTCAAATGTTGTGATAGTTACGATTATTTGGGATCATCGCGTCGTCAAGTTTTGTCCGCTGTTTAGTCATACTCGATGTTCATCGAATTGGACTCCACTCAGTCTTGTTGCCATTATATTAAGGAATGTGATGAAATGAAATTATGAATCCGAAACGTATTAATCGTTTTCAGCCTTGACATAATAGCTGATTATTGTTTATTTTCAGATAATAATCGCTGGCGATCGAGATTCCGAGGATACGAAAGCACTTCTGAAGTGCGTTCACTCTCATTACATACCCAACAAAGTTCTCATGCTATGTGATGGTAACCAAGACAACTTCCTTGCCTCTAAACTGTCTGTCTTTAAAACACTGGAGCGGAAAGGTGGCAAAGCTACGGCGTATGTTTGCGAGAACTACACCTGCACACTTCCAGTAAATACTGTCGAGGATTTGGAGAAGATTTTGTCGAGATAGATGCTAAAACTGAGTGTTTCTTATAAGTTCTCTTTTAGGTTTTTAAAATAGGGCGGTTTTGGAGACGGTCACGTCCGTTGTAAAATCACTACGTACTTGCCAGTCACCTTGCAATAGCCTTTGGTTTTGGTGGAGGTTGTGCGCGCGATTGGGTCGAAATTCTGTCGGATTGCAATATGGGATTGTTTCATGGGACGCCATATTTTTTTTTCTATTGGGCAAATCAAGGTCGTAAGGGAACTGGGTGAAAACCGTCCTATGGTGCAATTCGACACAACACCGACCCAGTCATACGCGGAATCCTGGCCTGTTCCAGACCTTCAGTGCGGCGCGAAGATTAAGGGCGGGAAAAAATAAGGAGGGGTAGAGAGGAGGTTCCTTCGCTCTCACCCCTACCCCGACCCCTCGCTTTTTTTCTGCTTCCATCATTTTGCGCCCTGTCAACTATCTGAACGCCTGAAGCAGGCTAGTGGAATCCTAACTTGGCAAATGGACCAAGTAAAATACTTCTGACAACGTCCGCACGAGAAGGAATTTAAAGGGCAAGGTTAAAAACGGAAAACTTGTTGGTGCTAAGCAACGTACCCTTGATGTTGACGCTGGTTTTATTGGGTACAATAGGCCACTTGCACGGTGACGTAATTTTTCTACTACGACCAGAATCCTTCAGGGTTTTGCTTTCACCTGCAAATTAGGGCTTTTGTTAATTAATCCTCGCTGGGATTACCAAATTTAAATGTGACACTACAAGGAAAAACGTAAAGGATTCTGGTCGTAGTAGTAAAATGACGACATCGTCTAAATGGCCTATTCATGTGGAGAACGTAAACCTTATACCATGTACAATCCATTTTGTTTTAATCCTTATGAGCGAAAAACACGTTAGCGTAACACTTTAAGTGAACGGTTATAACTTGACGGTGCAATTCAATTTAAGATAAATTTATATATTAGAGCATGTCGAAAACTTTGTCTCTTGTATTTATGAGTTCCTATCACTTATGAGGAAGCTATGCAGCGATGACTTTGGGCGTACTTAAAGCAGGGTGGCAAAGGGATTTTCCGTGACGCGTGATGGGACCCAAATGATCAGCGTGATGCGTGATTGGGCATAGCATCGTCATGCGTCATTTACTATTTGCACAACGCGTGACGCGCGATTTTCCTTTGAAATTTCTGTGATGATTGATGTTATATGAAATTAGAAGCGGAGACATTAAAAATAGATAGTTATGACACCAACTTCTTGCCCTTTTTGCTCGTTCCTCGACATCTGATTACCTCAAATGAGAACAGGATACTTGTTAATGTAGTTAATATTTTATTTTATTTTTTCCGTGATGCCTGATAAATTAAGAAAATCGGCATGATGCATGATAGGCACCCCCTTTGCCACCCTGTTTTTTCCGGCACTCATCCTGAAATTGTTTGTTAGTAAACTCTTACTAGATGGTGAAGCTTCTTTGAACGATGGCCCGGTTTCTTCTTAATCGGAAGTTTTGTGTTAAGGCTTTTCCGAGTGAATATACCGTAAATCCTCTATTATGTTCCTCAGCTGGGGGAGGGGCTTATTTAATTATTCCAACCATCTTTGTAGTCTGTTACACAGCCGTTTCTAGTGTCGTCACGCAATGCTCCTCCACAATAACTGGGGAGGAGCGTTGCGTGACGACACTAAAATCGGTTGTGTAGCAGACTACCATCTTTGAGAAGAGGCTTTAAATTGAGAGGGCTGGCTTATTCAATTTACAGAAGCAAGGCGCTAGACTGCCTTTTCAAACAACCGGAAGACAATTCTTATCAAGTATCAATTCTCCATAATGACATAGAAAATTAAAGTAAAAAAGCTCAAGCCCATGAAGTTGGAGGTCATGCAGCTTCAGATCAAAAACAAATCCAAAAAACTTCCAGCACGTGAATCTGTCAGATAAACTATACTGGATCAGTCCCCATGAAGAATTACCGTCCTGATTAGTTAATACAATCTATCATTTATTAATTTCGTGAAGAATAATGGGGGAGGGAGAGGAGGAGGGGGGGGGGGGGTGTGTGGTTTAAAATCTTTCTGCCCCTTTAGTATTAAGGGGGCTTATTAAAGAGGGGGCTTAATAAAGGATTTACGTCCGGGTTCACAGGTTAAGCCGGGGCTCTGGCACGATATTTTGAACCATTTTTTTTCATTCTTTAAAACAAAATTGAGATTAAAGGAAACCCCAAAATATTAGTTTTGCAAAGTATAGAACCCCCCCCCCCGGGGGGGGTACTCAACAAATTTTTATACGGGGAGGTTTCGCCCCGAGGTCCACCAACCCCTTATCCTTTTATATACCATTTTTCACGAATAAGCCCTTTCGTATACCCTCCATTCAGCTCCATTGACAAATGGTACCCCTTTCATCAGAACCCGTGTTAGAACTTTACATCCCTTTTAACTGCTGTAAATGCATTGTCATTTAAATAGGAATTAATCACAAATATAGAATGTTTTCCCGACTTAATAAAGCCATAAAATTCATCTGTCAGCCCTTTAGGCCCTTTCACAGACCCAAATGACAGATTTCCCTACCCTTTAATATACTTCTGCGCGTTTTTTTGGTTTTAGAAAAGAGTATCAATTTTAATATTCTCTTCTTTAGTGTAGATCGCCAGGTTTTATTATAACTTTTGCCTGCACGTTCTTATAATTGACGTAAGCAGCCCCTGCCCTCTCTCTTGTACACGGAAATTTAAAAGTCAGTCTGTATAAATTAAAATATACAAATATTAAAACCAAAATAAGCAAACATTAAAACCATTCCCAGTAGCGAGAAAGTTCGGTGTTAAACTGATACACTCTGGCCAGTAGAGCCGTCCTCGCGAGTTAAACATTTATACCAGTCAATTCCATGCAAATAAAGAGAATGAAGATAACACTGGGAAGAAAGAAACTCCATCAAAGAGTTTCGTGAGCGAATATGTATATAAAGTGACAGGCAACGAGCTGAACCGCGTGTAAAGGGCCTGGGTCAAGCTACCAGTCTGTTCTTGTTGTCAAAATAGTTGTCGAGAACAGAAATGAAAGCTTTTTTTCGATACGCAAAAGAATAATCCCGATTGAAATAAATAAACAGTGATCGAATAAAAGAAATTGTCGGCTGTTTAGCGCTAAGTTACGTGATGTTTTCAAATTCGCTGCTACATTCGAACTCCAGGAAAAACACGCTTTTGCGCATGTCAAATGGGTACCTCGCTCATGCGCTTTTTCAAGAGTCATCCCATAGTAGTCTTTATGGCGAGGTGAAAAGCCTCATTTAGGGAGATATTTCTTACTGTACTTGAATTAATATCCACTATTTCTCTTCATTATTGCGGAATTTGAACGCTGAATGATTTAGTAGTTCCTCTAGCTACAGAATTATGCTTCTTGAAAGCGACGCACCGAGGTAATGGCGGATAAACGGAAGCTTCAAGGTATGAGACGAAGTGTACTGGCTTTCATGGCTATTTTTGATCTGCGGAGTTTTTCGCGAACTTCCTTTTACTTCACTTCTTGTCTATTTTTAGGGGAAATTGACCGTTGCCTTAAGAAAGTCACAGAAGGCGTAGAAACTTTTGAAGATATCTGGCAAAAGGTATCTGGCAAAGTTACAAGTCATAAAATCTAACAAACGTGATTGTGATGCTATTCTCAGCACGTTTAACTCACTTTAGATTATTCCAAATTTTTACGCATTCTTCCAGGTTCACAATGCTACAAATGCGAATCAGAAGGAAAAATACGAGGCAGATCTTAAGAAAGAAATCAAGAAATTGCAGGTTTGTTTCTTCTTTCCTCTTGTACAATTGCAAGCTATATAAATAATAAGCTTACTTGATATACAGTTGTGCACCCTATATCATATCCACTTTCGGTTTGCCGCCAGTTTTTAATTTCAAATTATTTTCGCCTCTTTTGCAGCGGTTGCGAGACCAAATTAAGACATGGATGGCCTCGAACGATATCAAGGATAAGCGAACTCTCCAGGATAATAGAAAGCTCATCGAGACGGTATAATTTCATAATGTAATCTTGTTGTTAACTTAATTCAAAATGGCGTTCATTAATCGGCGCCATTTTGTGACGCTTAATGTTTATAGATTGTACTACTTTGGCGAGAATTAACTCAGTATGTAACTGATTGTTTAATTGTATTACCTGAAAAATTCTTGTGGATTACATTGCTGTAAAGTGGATACTGTCTCATTGTTTGCTTGTTAAATGTTTTGTGTTGTAGCAAATGGAGAGGTTTAAAGTTGTTGAGAGGGAGACAAAAACAAAAGCTTACTCAAAAGAAGGTAAAATAATTTAAGTTAATTTATTATTTCAGGTGCTTGAAACATTCTTCATTTCACCTGCACTGATATACCTCTGAGATTCTACATTCTCAATTTTGAGAGACACAGGGCATTTACTTTGTTATTTGTTAGTTGGCTATTTGCTGTGAAATTCTTGAAAGGGAATACTGACAACAATAAGTAAGGATGAGAATCACGCAGCTATCAATATTATTACCAATTACCTAATGGCCTGGTTTCCGAGATCTCGTCTTACCACTGATTCCTTTGTAAAATTTATGATGTGTTCATAAGAGAGGGCGTGCTGGCTCTGTTCCCGAGATCTCGTTTCTCGTATGGAAAATCCTGCCTTATGAACACTTCAGCCTGGTTACTGGGATGAAAGCAGGTTGAATTCTTCACAACAGCGCATTGCTGGATGGCATCATGTTGCTTTGCGTGTTGTATTTTTCACATTGCAAGCATCCCATTTAACTACAGTGGTATAGCTGTAAGAGTTGCCAAAGCTATGATGGGCACAAATTTGGTTTCTCAAATTTCATGCGACAAGTTATCCCTAGGACCTTTGGCCTTTCTCACCTCTTAAACTGAACTGAAATTTCTCATATGAACCCAAGGTGAAATTGGTCACGGTAACCAGGCCAGCTTGGTCAATCGGTCTTATGTGAAGAGGCCCTTAGAGCTCTGCAAGTTGTTACAAGGCGATAACCTTGTTAGCCATTTACCATGCAACACATGATTTTGTGAAGTCCAAGATAACAAAGGGTATTTACCGTTATATTTATGGGTATCTTTGACTGAAAAAGACACAACAAACATTGTGCAAGTGCATCTAAATAAAAATGTGATTACAATGATATTATTCATCATAAAGATCATGTGTATTCATTAGGAGCTTGTTATCATTTGTTTCATGGTAGTCACATCTTTTTCTGATTGAGATTGATAAGAATGCAACTATTGTGAGACAAACTATAAACAAGCCTATCAAAATCAGTTTTATATATAGATCTGTACATCTTACGTGTATGTTGACATGTTCAAACTGTCTTTACTCTATCACATCTTTATGACTTTTAATTTTCCCAAATTGTCACAGCTCAAGACTAGAAACTAGGGTTAATGATGAATTTCCAAGGCTAGTCACAATAACCCGGTGATATTGTGTGTCTGTTGTTCTAGTACTACTAAGAAATTTTCTACCGTCTTCTCACTTGTGATGTTGCTATTGACAGGCCTTGGACTTGCCACTAAGATAGATCCAGCTACAAAAGAGAGGGAAGAGGCCAGGATCTGGATAACTGTAAGAATACTTTTTTTGGAGTAAATAAGTTTTGTGGTAGTTTTTTTTTTATATGAAATGGACTTATAATGTCTCATTAAATAGTGCACATTTATACATGTACATGTGTCCGTAACGATTTTATTAGTCATGTGTGTGTTTCATTATAGATGTCTTCATTATTATGGAGTTAAAGAAAAAATAATGGTGCTTCAATGCTTGTTTATTTCTTCAAAATGTTTTATAATGTCAAACAAATATTCAGTCAAATTTCTGTGAATTATATACTAATTTAGTTAATAATGAAATCCATGTCATAGTACTTTGATTTATTTTTAATGAGGCAAATGAGTTTATTATGCACATGAGGTTAGGCACAAGAATGTCATGAGACCTCTTTACTTTTTTGGGATCATCTGTGTCAAGTTACAGGCCTTGGTACGGTACTGCTTCTAATAAGCTCTCATACATTTTGTCGGCTCTTAAAGGTTGCTCAAGGACCAAGATAAAAATTTGGCTAATAAGACTGTAAATACTAGCTAGACTTGGATAAGCCCATATGCTTCAATGCTTACAGGTTGTGTTTGTAAATAACATGTAGCACAGGAATCGACTCAAGGCTCAAGAAGCTACCTTCTTGAAGTGTCAAATCATTAGTTTTCATTTCAACTTTGGATGTGCATCACGCTTTTTTTGAGGACGGGAATGCAAAGCAACAAATTAACTTTTTCTTTTCTTAAACTTTGATGTAATCCTTTAGAATTCAACTCCAGCGAAAATTGCCAACATTTGATAAATTGAACGAGATGGAATAAGCGTGATTAAGCTTGAAACAATGAGACTTCACTCTTTTTAAGTGACGTTTTAGTAGCCGTTGCCATCATTGTTACTTAAGCTCCATATTTAATCCTTTTGGTATTTAGTTCTGGGCCAATAGCTCCTTGAAATTAGTTTTGTCAACACGAAACTTCTCTTACAACTGTTAGTTCCACAAAGGTGTAGTAGCCCGTTATATATGAAACATGCACAACTAGCAAGCTGTGGGGAGGGGAGGGGACCCAAAGCTGGGTTATAGAAGAGAATGATGGACCACAGTTGCATTGGCATCTGCTTGTATTGCCTCCTAACAGTAGAACTGCTATACATAGAGTTCGAGTAATGAAAATTTCTTACATCATTGTTTTTTCCTTTTCTTTTCTTTTCTCACTGCAGGAAGTTCTGGATAGGCTTCAAATAGAGGTATGCTCTAGTTTCGCTGATGGAATGATGAATTTGATCATGATGCATCACTAGTTGTTTAAGTTTTTTGTGTGTGTGTGTGTGCACATGTGTATTTGTTATCTTTTTACATTTGCATTCCCAACCTGGGAAAAATGGACAAGTTTTAATTCTTGCTACTCTGATTCCATCGCTCTTATGACTCATCTTACATGTCTGATTTTTTTATTTTCATTGGGCCATAAGCCCTCTTGCGACTCTGCTCATGACTCTAGCACCCAACTTCATCACCAGTGGAAATCAGCCTTAATAACTGGGCACCAAGATTTTAGTTAGAAGGGTGTCCTTTGTATTCCACTGTACGGAAAATTCATGGAAAAACTTAGTACATGTATCTTAGTATAATTTTTATGGTTAAAACAAATTGCCTTCTAGATAAATATTATGTTGTACCCAGTTTTAAATGTCTGACTTAAAGAATGCTGGACCCTCTAGTTTAATTTAGTAGTGGCAAAGTAATACAGGAGAAAATGTTACGTGCCAATGTAACATTCTCTGTTGTTTTGATCAAAGGTGGACCAGATTGAGTCAGAAATAGAGCAAGTTTACGCAGGATCACGGAAGAAGAAGCTTGACAGAGATGTAAGATTTGTACTAATGAGGAAAAAAGTACAAAGGTCGAAGATATTACCATTAATTGATAGTCCATGAGGACATTTGTTATTACACATTATAAAAACCTTGGTTAAAATAATTTATTTTACTTTTATTTTATTCAGTGCTTTATTCTTTGATAAAACTTGAAAGAATGTTTTTTTGTTGTTGTCAGGAACATCATTTTGCATTACAGTACCACTCAAGTTGACTGTATTAAAAGTGGTTGTAGAAAATCAAAGTGAACTAAATTTTATCTTCCTTGTTTGTACAGAGGCAGGATAAGGTGGATGAACTGCAAGAATGGGCAGGCAAGCATCGACACCACAACCAACAATGGGAGGTGAGATTGCTATTCCTCAGTCATGATTTAATATATTGGGCATTTTCTTAGGCTTTCTTGTATAATCTCTTAGAACCTCTGAGTTGACTGTATGATGTTCTTATGTGTATGTTTTACAGTATGTTTGACTATGGGGAAGTTTCCAAAAAAATTTATGGTTTAGAAAATTGGCATTCTATTGTCTGATGTAACAAAAGTAAGAACATAAAGTACTTGTAGAACTTCTTACCCCAGTTCTTTAGAACATTCTTGTTCTTAAATGTCGTTTGAAGTTTTACTGCAATGTTTGATTTTTTTTTTTTCTTCAGACTATCCTTAGGATGCTGGACAATGGCACAATAGAACCTGATGATGTATGTTTTTAATTAACTCATTGAGATAACCTGTAAGCAATAAATTTAAATGTACTGTGACAGTACAGTGTAATAAAAAAAAAATGACTACATTTCTGTAGGCTCAATAAGCTGGGTTGGTACATGTAGATCACTGGTCTGTCAAGTGAGATGTCATACAACCAACCAGAGTCAGAGTCAATCAGAGTCAACCAACCAGTGGTGTAGTGGGTGATGACATTAAGCCACTGGTCTTGTCTCCTTCATCCGTCACATAAAGTGAATGCAAAAGTACTCTTGCTGCCGTTCAAAAAGGGCAGGGGTTAGAGAGCACTGTAGTGTATGGCTAGGGGTTCTTATGGACCCATACTATTTTACACAAGTGGTGTGTTGTCTCTTATAGTACTCATTAAACCTGATTTCTTCCTTTACAGATTAAGAAATTACAAGATGACATGGATTATTACCTAGAATGCTACAAGGTATTTTTTTTAGAAAAAAAAATACAAAATACACGCAATATAGAAGACATCAAAAAGCAAAAATATTAAGTTAAAACTATTAAAGTGTACAAAATGTTAACTCAAATTCATTTAATTAATTACAAAATAATTAAGATTATGCTTAAAATAATATTTACATTCATGGATTGCCTGGCTAAGAGAGTTAAAATCCTTGAAAACATGAAAAAAAACATTGTATGCCTTGGAAAACAAGAGCGTGGGGAAATAAATTAACTCTTATTTGGTTATGAAATTTCCAGGGTCATTGATTCAGTTTTTTATTGTTACTGAAACAATAAGCTGTTCTCTCTTAATGTGTGTTTCTTTGGACGATTCCAAACTTAGATTCTTAGTTTAGAATTAATTTTGGATTTGCTACAACTAGAGAATAAACAAGAGATCTTTAAAATGAATTAAAACATGGTGAGCCTTGGGAAACTATCAGGTGACCCTTTGTCTGGTCCTTTTCCAAAAAAATACTCAGGTCTAGATTTAGATTCACTGAGCATGGATTCTTTAGATTCAAAATCCACTTAGGGATTTTAGTAAAGAAATGTGATGTCTTTTTTTGGAGTCAAGAGCCTGATTTTTTTATTTTTCCCCAAGCAACATACCAAATGTTAGTGAAGTAATGAGATTGAATTTTGCAGGAACCTGACTTTCAAGAGAATGAGTACATGTATGATGACCTGGACCTTGAAGTTGATATAGCATCCGGTAAGTATTCTTTTTTATTATTATTTTTTCTTTCCTGAGGTGTTAGTCTCCCATGCAGCCGTTATTTACATCGTCACACAATGTCTCACCTCGCCTGCTCCCCCTCCCTGGCCCCACCATGTTATGTGAGGAGCATGGAGTTTTTCATGGTGAGACAAAAATAAATTGTGTTGTGATAGTTTCAACAAAATGGCTGCTGTGCATTCACCATGCAGTGGTTTTCAAGGCCAAAATTCTGCATTTCAAGGTTAAATACTCTCTTTTAAAACACACAAATAAAAAAGGAGAGTTCTAAAGAACCCTTGTTTTTCTTTTTGTGGACAAGGAAAGCTTTTATTAGAAAATCATCCTTGGAGAAATTCAACCTTGTTTTCATGGCGGAGCAGGTACAAATTTTTTGAAGAATTTCCAGGTACATTTTGTACACCATGGTCATAACTTGTCTTTTCTTTGCAGTGAATGCTCTGGCAACATCACCAGATGATGATATGGATCTTATTCTTAATCATGTGCCTTTGTCACCAAGTTCTACGATACCTCCAAACTCACCTGGCACACCCGGCACACCTGGCACACCTGTAACACCAACAACACCAGTGACGCCTGGAGTAGGCACTAAAATTAGTCTGGTAATAGTAATTCAGACATGTTACTGAATCTTGGTAAAAAGATAATATTATTATTAACTAATACCTATTATTACTAGCTAATAGCTTAAATTTTATCTCAATACTGGAATTGGCGGCTACCAGATGTGCTGGATTTGAGTCATCACTCAGTTTTGCTCATGAAAAAGTTGCCTTTTAAACTGGTTTTGCTATCCATTTTCTTCATCAGAACTCACCCAGGAAGAATTCTAAGAATGGATCCTCTCAAGGTAGTAGTAGTAGTTCACCACCTCGGACGTCTTCATTGAAAACCAATAGCATAGGCCAGCAGTCATTCACGCAAGCGTCATCAGCAACAATTTCAAGTCCAGTCATCATTAAAGCTAGTGAGTGCAGTGTCTATTGAGTTCTTTTTTTTTTAGTTGTTCTGTTTTTCTCTGGAGCTTGTCTTAAGTTTTTCTTTAGTTTTTAACTTGTTTTTGTGGTTGTTTTTTCTTTAGGTAATACACCAGCTAAAGTAGTTAAGTGAGTATCTGTTGAGTTAACTTTTATTCAATTAAAGATTGCTAAATTTTAGCATTCTGATCTTTGTGATCTTTTTTTTTCCTAAGTTCATTCAGTTTTGTTTGCCTAACAATCTACGGTCACTGCTCTTCTTTATTAGTGCTGCTATGAAATATAATTTTTGCAGACATCATTTCTATCTAAAGCCCCTTTTTTTGACTGGATCAAATTACTTATTATTTCATATTATTTTATCAGACAATTTGGAGTCAGACTGGTTCTGATTGTCCAGACTTCTGCTGCACAACATATGCAACTGTGGCTGTAAATGCCATTATCTATGTGGGCAGCAATGAGAATTTTACAACTCAACTGTCTCTTGGGGTGTAATGTGCAGATTCTTGGTACTTGAAAGTTTATACAACAGGAGGAAAATTTTCTATTTTTTGCCTTGTTTATTCTTTTGTTATAGTTCAATGATGCATCCCAATGCCTTTGAAAATCATGAATCCAGTAATGGAGAAGAGCAGTCACTTAAGACTCCTCCACCAAACACTCCTCCACCGCCCGTGTCTGGGTATGCGGTGGCTGCCAGTGCACAGCAGAACCATGTGGACAGTGGACCAGTATCACCACCGGCATCTGCTGTAACGTCAAGATTAGTGAATCATGTCTCCTCAGCAGCACCAACGATACCCAATAGCATATCAAGACTTGCGTCATTGGCTGGAAATAGTACAGACCAGTCTGTGCAGAGCAACCACCTTCCTGGTAAGTTGATTATGGAAATGAAAGCCGACAACAACAACAACAACAACAAAAATGATAATAGTAAAAATAATAATAACTAAAGGTAAGGGAGTATGGGTGAGATTGACGGAAATGCTCTTGTGCCCACACTGTGCTTTACGTAAATTTTGAGCATGAGTGATAGAAGGTCCAAATGAGCATGCTCAGATTGCATTCAATGCATTCCATTATTTCTCGTTTAAAGTCCAAGCAAATGCTAGCTACACACGTGCCCTGCATGTGTACATACATTCAGCACATGGGTAAAAACAAACCTGTTGATTAGGATTGTGTGCTTGGTCTTTGCCTTCCTGTTAGACAGTGAATGACCATTTTGCAGGTTATAAACTTTCGTTCTCTTAAATTTTTGCAGAAACAGAAAGCATCCCATCAAGCATGTCCGATTTTGTGTCATCCATTGCATCCCTTTCCATCACATCTCCTCCAACGATATCAACAGCAACACAACCATCACAGCCAAACTCAATGCCGCAACCATCTCCAGGTCTTAGTTCTGTGATAGGAATCAAGCCTGCAACATCCTCAGTGGTACCGACACCTGTACAGTCTGTTTCAACAAGCCTGACATCCTCTGCGCCTCCAAGTTCTGTCCCTTCATCTGTTCAGTCGTCAGATCTTAGTGGCTTTAACTTGTCGATGCCTCCTCCTATGGTGTCCAATTCCAGTTCCGTGTTGTCAAACTCTACAGTTTCAATGGGAGAACCTTTGGTGCATGTACCTTCGTCCAATCCACCCACATCAATTTTGAATGGTTCCCATCTCATGTCTAACACAGGAGTGAGTCAGGTATTTGTAGCAGTACAGTCGACTCTGTCCTAACAGACACCTCTATAAGACCGACACCCTGCATTCTTTACTCCCTTTCTTTGACTCTCTACAAGACCGACGTCACTCTTGACGGACCTTTAGTGCCAGTCCTAATGGTACCCTTCAAGAGAGAGTCCACTCTATGGGTTTTGTTAATAGACACTGTTTTTGGCATAGTGAATTGTGAAATTGTACACTTGTACACTGTAGACCAAACCTTTTCTCAGTTCCTTTTTATTTGATTACCGATGCATTACCTTTCTAAGTAAAACGCTGAATAAGATATCATAGACCCCATACAGAGAGAATTTTCTGGCATGTTATGTTTACTTCAAAAATCTAGTTAAATTGACTTCTTCTCTTCATATTTTTTTTCAACAGGCCTCAACATCAAATTCATTTTCATCACTGAAGTCGATAGCAGCACAAGCAGTAGCTACAGCAGGGTTGAATAATCCAATCTCTGCACCAACAGACTACAGTGCAGAAAGCAGAGGTGAAGATTATTATTTTATTATTGAGAAATAAATGTCAAATTTCCCAAAATGACGTCTTACACATGAAATTTTTAGAATTTTACTTGTGTTTTCACAATTCTTTGTGAAATTTGACATTTATTTTCTCAGGCTCCCACGAGAAATAGTCTTCGGTGTTATTATAGATAACTAATTATATCTATAGCCCTTGAAAAATGTAAAAAAGAATGCGACATTGTTTAAATTATTCTGGTACAAGGCTTTTGTCCTCTGCAAATTTAAATTACTCAATTTCCTGATGGATTCCGTCTTCACCCCTTGCACTGTCAGAAGGGGCCAAAGTCAAATGTAGAATGTAACTTCAAGTCATAGCAAAAGAAAACTCCATATTTCATTTCACCGAGTTGATCATATTCAACCTGACTATCATCCTTACAGTGCAACCACTGTAACTGGGGCCACCTGGACAAAGTTGACCAATCGGATTACAGGAAAATAACAACACATTCCAAGAAAGTTGGTTGTGGGCCAATCAGCAGCTCATTAGAAAACAATAAGTTACTAGAAGCACAAAATTTAAGTATTGACAGCAAACGTTTCACACTAAAGCAGAATGTTTCACCAGACAATGTTTTTCTATTTGAAACTAGCACCCCAGAGACATATTTGTTTGACACAAGCTGTTATTTTGTCATCTACCAGCAATTTCTTCACTACCATTGCTGCACTTTACAATAAAAACATGCAACCAGGATATGACCAACGTTTTCATTTTTCGCCTCAGTCAACACTAACAGACCTCTCAGGAAACATAGGCTTTCGTGTCAGTGGGTTCAGAAGGTCACGTCTGTAGTTTGTAATTGGTTGATTTCGATCCATATTGTTGATTTTGTTCTGTGGTAATAATGATTGACAACTAACGTTCTCGGAATTTATTGTTATTTTCCTGTCTTCCAACTGGTCAACTTTGTTATAGTAGTCGCTCTTTAAGTGTTACCAGCTCTTGACTTTGTCTTTGTCCTATGACCTTTTATTGAATCTTTCTGTATTTTCAGTTTTAACCCTTTAAGCCCCAAGATCCAAAGACAAAGTCTCCAGACTTATCTCCATACATTTGTTTTAAGAATAGTTCAGAGAATTTGGTTTAAGATCAAAGCATTCTCCTCTTTCTCTTAATGATCTGCTGTTGTTGTTAGGAGAAAATTGATGTTGGTCACTCTTGGGGCCTAAAGGGTTAAAGGGGCGATGTCACGAGGGTATTGCTGTTCTAGGTCAATTCTGTGCTTATGTCATAACTTAGTGTCTGCACCCTTACAAAAAATGCTCCTGTAGAGTTATTAAGAAGATAATGTAATAAATAAATTAATAAATACATAATAAATTTTGGGTGATTTTCGCAGGCATAGCATTTAAACTTGAGAAAGTTGTTTCAGTCCATGTTCATCCTTGTCCTCCATTGCAACAGAAAACAGGAAACAGTTTCAATGCTTAAATATACATGCAGTCTTCAATAACAAAACTGTTCCTTTATTTTTGGAATTCAATTGATGCAAAGACAAGTTTCAGCCTTTTAAAAAGATGGCAAATAGCGTGACTTAGCCCCTTAAAACTTCTCATTTCTTTATCCGTTTTTAGGACTATTTGATTCAAGTGGTAGTCAAACAGCAGATGAGAGCAAAGTAGTTCAAGAGACAAACACAGCACACCTTCAGCCTCTCCTTGGCGTGGCGCCACTGGGTCCTGTACCCTTGAACAAAGAGAGGTGTTATCAGTTGGCTATGCTGGAAGCTGCTTACCATCATCTACCACTTCCGGCAGACTCAGAGAAAGTCAGGTACAAACACGTTTTGTGGTAATAGGAATGTGATGAAACAAAAATCAAGGACGTAAGGACCTTGACTTTTCGATGGCTTTGTGTCATCAATTCTTATCAGAAATGTGTTGGTGAATTTTAAGCCAGGTGATAACATGAGAAAGATGTTTATTCAGTCGTTGACACAGGCATCTCAGAAGAAAAAAACAGAATACTCCCAACAGGAGTTGGACCAGATCAATTAGGTTTCTGGGAAACTACCCACCTACCCCTCCCCTAAGCCAGCATTATGACTTACTTCTCACTTAGGGCAAAATGTTGGTTTAGGGGAGGGGTGGTTGGGCAGTTTCCCAGAAACGTAAAATTGTTCCGTTAAACCTATGACTTTCTGGTACAAACTAGTCAAGATGCTCTATCACTAAGCTGCAGGAGACGTGGGAGTTCGGTCTTTTCGATACAAAGTCTTTTCGATACGAACTCGAGCAGTGATATTGCACAAAAATTTCGATCACTTCAAGTATATAGTTTGCGGGTGAACATGCAAAACATTTCGGGTGAATATTCTTCATTCTTTAAGCCAAGTACCTGGAACTATTTACACCTGAACTGAATAAACTTGTATCAAAACGACTTTGTATCGAGAGAACGTAAACCGGGACATGTGGAAGTTTAGTTACTTTCCTGGAGATTATATTCTTTTTAGCTCTGGTGGCTTTCTGCATGATTTGAAACTTTTGATGAAATATCACAGACAACCCACAGTACACGTACGCAGAAAGAAAATGTTATCTTGTTTGTTCACCTTCACCTAGCCTTTAATGTAAGCATAATTCATTCGGGCAAGCAAGCGCTTATTGATCGCTATCCTTGATGCAAAGTCGTCTTCAGTGCATTTGTGTAACTGGCTATATAGAATGAACTCATTGTTCAGGGAAACTTAGAAGACTTGTTTTGATCCCTACAAACTGTAAAACACTCACAAACAAATCACCTCTATTAATATTATCTCAAGCTTGCGAGTACAGTGACATAGGCGACTCAAAAGAAAAAATTTGATGTTCTTGTGTTGTTTATTGACAGGCATTGTTTACCACGTAATCCCTACCCTACACCCCCTCACCATCATCAACATCCCCCACAACATGTAGACTCTATAGAATTTTTCCAGAGATTGTCAACAGAGACGCTGTTCTTCATTTTCTATTACCAAGAGGTAAGTATCTGGTGTTCTTTGAAGTAGGAGGCTAAAAAAGGCTGCTCAGTCGTGCCTTAGTTATGAGGGTGAATTAAGTCCCCAAAAATATGCTCACAGAGCTTTACAGGCATAGAAATAACTTTTTTGGAGAACCAAGGGGCTTGATATTTCCGATTAGGTCACTGGTTTAGTCAGACAAAGAAGAAATTCGCGGGACGTACATTAACTATGTTGAATTTAAATTTCTTTTATTGCTATGCAAATCTTCAGCATTAATAATTATAATGGTCGTCAGTATTGCTATTAATTTTTGATCTGTCTGGTTGTGGTGCCTGGCCGCAGGTTACATTTGCTCTCACACTAGGCAGATGTTAGTCAAATGTTAGACAATATCCCATGAAGAACTGTTATTTCAACTCTGGTTTCGCAGCTTCTTTTATGCTCTTTGGAATTAGGAGTTTTGTGTGTATGATATTGCCTAGTCCCTAGGCCTCATTATTCCTTCTCGGCCAATTCGTTTCGGGTCACGTCGTCCGAGCGATAAGTGAGGCCGTTTCTAGCCCGTACGCCTCGGATACGAGAAGGCCTGGGAAAACGCCGTGCAGGGACTAGGCAATGTATGATTCTGACTGACTACTCCTAATTGCAACAATCTATTTTTTTAAATAGAAAAATGAAAACAAAAAAGAGAACGGAAAGAAGCTAAATAGGGATAAATTAGGCACCCCCACTACATCCAAGGGTCTGGTCTGTTGCCAATGATAAAGAAAAATTTAGTTACGTTCTCTTATCTCAGTTGATGTCAATTTTTTGAAGTATTATACTGCATAAGTGTTTTCAGGGTTATCATTATTTTTTTTCTTTTTCTTGTTTTTGTTTTTCCTTGTTTGTAAGACAACGCTTTTACAGTTAGAAACTTCAAGTTTGTCCTTTTAAGGTTACGCTTGCTTTAATCAGCAAAATGACAGAAAACAGTAGTCAATTCTTGTTAATATTTATTTCAGGGAACAAGAGCACAGTACCTAGCAGCGAAAGCGTTGAAAAAACAGTCTTGGAGATTTCACACTAAGTACATGATGTGGTTTCAAAGACACGAAGAACCCAAAGCTATTACGGACGAATATGAACAAGTAGGATTACCTTAATCACTAAAGTGGGTTTATTTGTATCCTTGTAGTGTTCTGGGACGGGAGTGTTGTTAGAAGGAATTTGGACAATTCCAAATTGATTAGGTGTTTGGTTGATTGATCAATTGATTCAATCATTAATTCGTTGATTAATTGGCTGATTGATTTGTATCTTTATTGCGTTCTTCCTTTCTTTCTATGCCGTTATAAAAGGGACAGTGTCCCGATAATGCGCACATAAGGGAAGAAGGAACAATATTATCATTGATCTGTAATTCTGAGAAGTTTTAGTGTAGCATCGAACTCGGCCAAGCGCGATGCAAACGGATCTTCTCAAGGTTCTCTTACACCCCGCGCATCTTTTGAATTCCCGACATCCTGTTAGAAAATCAAAGGCTGGTACATGCGTAGTAACGTAACGGGATACTGTTCCTTTAATTGCTTCTTATAAGCTCCCCCAGCCCCCATTGATAGGCCCATCTATCTGTAAACCAAACACATACAAAAACAATACATACGATCAGACCTCCCCCCCCCCCCCCCCCCCCCCCCCCCCCCCCCCACCCCCCCCCCCACATCTCACACAACATTTTCTCTCTCCCTTTTGCCTCCAGCACTTCTGCTGTCCAAAACTCTTTTTTTTTTCCCTTTTTTTGTTTTGGTTTTGGAGTGGTAATACCGCTCTAGTGATTTCTTTTTTTTTTTTATGTTTCTGCCACCCCGCCCACCCTCTCCCCCCCTCGTCACCCCCCCCCCCCTCTCATCTGTTGTTGTTAAAAAAAAAAAAAAAAACAAAACCCCACCCCGATCTCACAAAAAAAAGACAAAAAAAAAGAAGGGGGGAAGGGGGGGGGGGTGGGGGGGGGGGGGGGGGGGGGGGGGGGGGGGTCTCACCTCAGCCCCCTCGCGTTTTCTGCATTGGTTTTCATGATAACTGCACGTGACAATTTTGGAATAGCCTGAAATATTTTCAACTGGTGAATAAGGCTGAAATTCAGGCTAGGCTTGGAGGTTAAATTAATTAGCTTGACGTAAACATCATTAAAATTGTGATGAATTTTATTGATATTGTTAAAACAACGATTTTTTTTCAATTTTGAAAATATGTACATAGTTGACAGAAATATTTGAAGTAAGAATTAATACAACATTAAGGATTATATAAATCATAAAGTACAATCACTGAGTCAATAACGATTTCCCAAATACATTCCTTGCGGCTCAGATACGATCAATAACACTTACAGGCAGTCCAGTGTGTTAAATTAAGTCATGAAAAAAGAAAATTATCCGTCTCTGATATCAAGTCACTGGTTTGGTCGATATAAAGAACCTCTATATAACGTATTCCTCGGTATATCGAACAGATTTCTTTACCTCAGTAATAGTAGGATAGATGTAAAAGAACCTCGATATATCGAAACTTAATTTTGCCAGTCTCTTGGCCCTTCGGTATATCGAGGTAAGAAGATCTGGGTTAGCCCATCGCCTCTTAGGTTCTCAAAGGCATTAATAATTCCTTAAGAAAATACAAAGGAAATTAATGTTTATAATGATTGTTTGGAAATCAGATGAAAAAATGCTCATTTTTGCAACCTTTCTCCTTCTAAAATCATTTTGTTTGATAAGTAATATCACGCATTCGAGACAGTGTTTCATTACCAGATGAAACACCTCGAAGTTCGTCAAAAATACTGCGCTGCGCGTCGTATTTTCAATTCTCTTCTCAGTGTTTCATCTGGTGATAAAACTACCCCCCCCCCCCCCCCCACCCCGACCCCGCATATGAGCCCCACCCAAATTTATTGAAATGGATTTGGACTTCCGGTTGACGTCACAGCGTCTGTCGCTCAAAAATGCTGTTGTTTAAGCTCCTTATTGTCGATGGGTTGAACTGGAAATGCATCCTATCATTCATTCATTTTCTGACTTTGGGTTCTGTCCTTTCAGGGAACTTACATCTATTTTGACTATGAAAAATGGGGCCAAAGAAAAAAAGAGGGCTTCACATTTGAGTATAGATACCTCGAAGACAAGGAACTGCCTTAGAGGATCGTAAAGAAGGGTCAATAACCAGGCGTGGTCTAAATCGCGAGACACAAACCTCAAGGATAAAAACCAAACAACAAATGGCACGTAACCTATGCGTGCGAGGCACGTGCTAGCAACGAAGAGGACGTGAGAGGAAAAGGTTGCGACACTCGTGCAGATTTTTTTTACCGGCAGTGTCCATGTTGGGTTAGTTTGAAGGGATTAACGGATCTGATCTTGACAGCTCCGTTCGACCTCGTCTGTTTTATGAACACTGGCTTGTTTATAATTGTAAATATGAATGCTAGCTCTAACAATTCCGTTCATTAAAAAATTGAAGCATATGCGGTCCGTTTCCTCTTGCAGTAACTAGTTAACACCTCTTCTCCGGTTATAGATACAAACTTTCGCGTTAAATTGAATTTTTTGGACGCGCAGCTAAATCCTCGGCGAAACGTGTTGAAAGCTTAGCACTTGGTTGAAAGAACTTGTTGTTACTCGGGCTCAGCGTTCAAACTTTTTTTGTCTTATACAATATTTTTCTAAATGTCTGGCCGACAAATATAAGATTTCGTTCGTGACCTATGTCCTAACCTGCGTCTAAAACCGGCTAGTAACGTCTGCCAACGGACTCAACGAATCACCGGAAGTGCGTTTCGAGTTTCCCTTGAACCTCACTGGCCAATCGAACAATGGCTTTTTTAACAGGCAAATCGTAGCGCATGCTTGCGGACTCAACGAATCACCGGAAGTGCGTTTCGAATTTCCCTTGAACCTCATTGGCCAATCGAACAATGGCTGTTTTAACAAGCCAATCGTAGCGCATGCTTGCCTACGGACTGTACCAAAGGTTTAGTTTCGTCTGCTGCGCAGGGTATCGATGTGTCTTCTCTAGAAGACATTCATTACGGTCCCTGTTGCTCTTTGATGCCTACCTCAGCAATCTTAAACCCGATTTAGTTGTTAGTACCCTTTGCACATATACCCTTGTGTTGTAATGTTTTAGTCAGTATAAAAACTGCCTCTCCTCTCCCTTCTCTAACCCAATATTTTGCCTTTTGTTCGTTAATGTTAGCGTAACGGGGAGGGCAGGAGAGGGGAAGGTGGGCGTGTATTTCCTTTATGTTAATGCGTTACCTCACCTCTACCCCACCTAGGAGCCAATTACTCCTTCCCCACCCCGCCTCACCAAGTTTGCGAACCGTTAGTACTGCCGCCTTTTAAGCCTCTATAGCGCCCACTTCTTCGAAGAACTACTTAGCACAACCCTTTTTAATGTGCGACGAAATTTAATCTCTCTGGCTTAGCTTAGAGACCTCTTTTCTGCAGTTTTCAATTTTGGGGTGGCAATTTCGGCCAATACCAAAATAATTGTACTGCCTTTATCACAACAGTCAGAGCTGAAAGCAAGTACATTTACGCGTTGCCAAGAGCGGAACCAAGCATGCTACTTAGATTTGGGTTGGAGGTTTGTTCATATTCTTGAAGTAATGCGATAGCAAAGAAATAACAAATCTATTGATACTCTTCCTAAAAAATATGTGGACGCGTTGCGTGACGATAAAAAACGGCTGCCTACGACTTTACCTTGTCAGGAGCCGACCTCCTGACTTTGTGGAAACAGGCTAGTGCTATGACGGTCAGATTTGTGAGTTCCCCGTGCGACTGAATCCGGATTCCCTTCTATGGGGCGAAACTGTGGTGCGACCCTGGTGTTCGATTACTAACACCGTAAATCCTCTATTGAGCTCCCCCCTCTCAAATAATCCCCCTGCCTCTAATAAGCCCCCCTTTTCAGAGGAAGAAAATTAATAAGCCCCTCCCCTAGTTTTTCTTCACTAATAAATGATAGACGTATTAATCACTCACGACTGTAATACTTCGTGTGCACTGATCCGGGATGGTTAATTTAATAAGCCCCCCGAAGGGCTTAATAGAGGATTTACGGTGGGCTCCTGGTCACTCAACTTTATGTGCGCTGTTAATTTGCTTGTCAGAAAAGTAGTCTGCGAATAACAGGGCACCGAAATTTAAGTATGCTTTTCATTAGTATTTGAATTGTGAAAGCTTAGAGAGCCATTATGGCCATTTTTGCCTGGTACAACCAAACGTGGAAGTTTTTTGAATGAGCAGTGCGCTTGAAGGGAAGAAACGAATCGGTGCTGTCTAAATAAATCAAATTTTGGCGCGTGCACTAACCGCTGACGAAAATATAACTTAAGGCCAAGAAATTTTCTAAACTCGTCCTCAGGCCTTCTCAAACATACTGAGCATTTTCCGTTGAATTTCTGTGATACATCTTACCTTATCATAAAATTTCTTATCTTAATGAACAGAGGGTGTAACAAAATAAAAGACAGTCTTTCAATTGCCCAGTAGAAAGGAACGTTAAAGCAGAGACATTTTGTTAGAAAATTAGGGTGAGAACATGATATGAGTGAACGGAGTACATATACAGCGTTCAATCTATCTTATTTCCGGTCCTTGCGTGAGGAAACGTAGAAGGTGGATTGCGTTTGAGAGAATATTGACTCGGACCGTGGCCGTGGGTGTCAAAGACTTTTCACGCGTTTTTTCCGGTTTCAGCCTGCGGTCAACACCAAAGTATCCCGCCATCTGGTAAAATTAGGAATCCAGCAAATTTTTGCTGTAGAATCCGGAATCCTGGGCTTGGAATCTGGAATACACACCGTAATTTTTAGGGAGTTATTATAACTCCAAAAATGGAGTAAAAATTTTAGGTACAGGATAACCCCTTTTTTGGGGTTATTTTAACTCCTAATTTAACTCCGAATTTGGGGTCATTTTTACTCCTGAAAAAGAGTTCTTTTTACTCCCAGTCTGGATTTAAAATTACTCCGAAATGGGGTTATTTGTACTCCTTACATGGGTTGTTTTTACTCTTTTTGGAGTTAATTTAACTCTGAAAGTGGAGTAAAAATTTAAGGTACAGGATAACTCCTTTTTTGGGGTTATTTTAACTCCTCAATATCTGGGGTCACTTTCACTCCTAAAAAAGAGTTCTTTAAACTCCTTTTTGGAGTTAAAGTAACTCCACGAAAAATAACTCCACTGCAAGGAGTTAAATTAGCCCCACTAGAGGAGTTATTATAACTCCCTGAAAATTACAGTGCAGCTACAACTCAAGGAATCCGGAATTCCATTAACGATTGGAATCCGGAACCCGAGTTCCACTGACAAAGAATCCACAATCCAGTACCTCGAATCCCGAATTCATGGCATGGAATTCAGAATCTAAAGGGTGCGTTTCTTTAGGATGATCCGGATCGGGATCAGTGATAGGAGATCACTCGAATCATGGCAGATCAAATGAACTGATGAATCCACAAACAGTAATCGGCTCCTGACTCTGGACAAGGATTCATCGGTTCTTTTGATCTACCATGATCCGAGTGATCTCCGATCACTGATCCTGATCCGAATCATCAAAAGGAACGGACCCCAAGACTGTCTCCCGCGATCTCTTTGGTCACACTTCTCGATTTCCGTTCTGGCGTCCTATCCAAATAGAGATGACTGGGGACAAGTCAGCTTTCTGAGTACGGTGGTGGTGGTATGCCTGTTGGATGCACAGAGTTACCAGCTTCTAGACAGCAAGGGGCCGCGTCGCACTGCGATGGGGGGTGGTTGTATACCACGAACCTGGGCGAAGGAGCAGGCACTGAGCGCAGAACAGACCGGTACCTGTTTGGATTCCTTTTCTTGTCATGGAATACTGCGACGACCACGACAACCACGGTGATTACAGCAACTGTAGCAATAACAATTCCAACGATAGTCGCGGTCGAAAGACCACTCACAGCCCGGCTCGAAGGACCATCTACTTGTCTTGTTTCTACCGCTTCAGGATCCAGACATGTCTTGTCATCTCCGAGTTCAGGAAAGTTCTCGCAGTTCATTTGATGGGGCCAATCAATGTTATGCTGATTCATGAATGAGGCACAGTCCGTCCTTACTCTTCTGCATAATCGTCGACACGGAAGCAAGACGTTGTTTATGTGCGGCTCGCACTTAGGCACATAAATGTGGCATAAAAACCTCTTCAGTTCTAAAGAGCAATTCACTTTCACTAGCAACCAGAATTTATGAAGTTCAAGAGCCGCTTCTGCCTGTGTGTGGTGGTTAAACATATTTGGCATATACGTTAAATTATATCCAGTGTTTTCACACATCGAAATCTTGATCTTTTCGCATTTTCTCCAATTAGAGATTTTACCAGTTGGTGACACAGCCAAAGTTGTTGACAGTGTTGTTGATACTTGGGTTTTCTCGGTTACCTTAGAATCCAAACAGGTCTTGTTTTGCCCAAGCTTGGGAAATTGCTTGCATCTTAATCGCTCGGGCCACGAGAAACCATACTGACGCATTAAAGGAGCACAGCCTTTTCTCGCTCTCTCACAGAGTGATCGGCAAGGAGGAAATTCGTTTTCCTTGGCATGCAGCTCACACTTCGGAGCAAACACAGTGCACAAAAAGATCTTTAAGTCTGGCGAACATCTGATTTCTACGAGAGGCCAAAACTGGTGAACATCAAGTGCTGCTTCCTCCTGCGTATCGTGGTTGAACATGTTCGGCATGTAAGTTAAATTATAACCAATATTTTCGCACATAGGAATTTTTATCTTTTCGCATCTTTTCACTTTGCCAAGGGTGCAGCACAACGTAGTTAAAGACAGCCAAAGTATAAACACAGAGCGGTGTGACACAACCATTTCTACAGCTAATACCTGATAGGGATCAGCGCGGTGTTCTTGAGTATTGGAACAGGAAGCACTAATCAGCAAGCGCCTACGCAGTCCTAGAGGATAACGTAATATTAATGTGGCGTGGAAAACGGAAATCGCTCTCGAAACAGTTATAGGTTGTCGCAAAAAATGTGCACGCGACAATCACCCCGAAAGGTAATATGGGATATTATCAATACTCTGTTCCTAAAGCACATGCCATCGGCGTGCCCCGGGGGTAGACCCCCGAACCAACTAGGGGGTTGTACTGGGTGGAGCAAAGTTAAGGAGTTAAGACAAAGTCCCCTAGGTCAAGTGCTTCTCAACGAAAAACCCCCCTGATTTCCACCTGATATAACTGGAATTTACTTGACGCAGGGGGCATTTTTATGATATTTGGGGATGAAATTTTACTCATTCGTGTACGTGTTTTAAAAGCTTGGAGAAGCAATATCATACTAAGCTTTATTGAACAAAAATCACTACAATCAAAGAACACCTGAAAACAGATTTCTCATCAAGTTTCTTTTTCACGATGTTGGTTTTCTCTGGCACGACTCTTTTTTTCGGCACGACTTTTCTTTTTCGACACGACTTTTTGTTTTTCGTGAGAAAATGCAAGGGGTGACAGGCCGCACATCTATACCGGCATGAAACCTTGTGCTAACCTTACTTATACTTTAGCTCTAACGAGCATGTCCTTTAGGGATTTTCCTTTCTTGTAGGAAATGATAGGTGATTCTTTAAAAATTTGGCTAAGTAGCGGTTAGTTTTGTATAAGATTCCATTTTTTCATTAAAACTTCTTTTAAAGTAGACACTGAGGGCTAGAACTGTGTCACGAAAGGCAATATTTCTTTTTCCTCGTTGTTGTTGTGTTTCGGGAGAGCAGACTCCCTCTCTGTGAACTTTATATGTGATGGAAGGTTTTCTATCATAATTTGTGGGTAGCCTCTGTCAATCAAGCATTTTTGAAATTTGAAATATTTTCCTCAAACTTAGCGCATGCTTGCCTACGGACTGTACCAGAGGTTTAGTTTCGTCTGCTGCGCAGGGTATCGATGTGTCTTCTCTAGAAGACATTCATTACGGTCCCTGTTGCTCTCTGATGCCTACCTCAGAAATCTTAAACCCGACTTAGTTGTTAGTACCCTTTGCACATATACCCTTGTGTTGTAATGTTTTAGTCAGTATAAAAACTGCCTCTCCTCTCCCTTCTCTAACCCAATATTTTGCCTTTTGTTCGTTAATGTTAACGTAACGGGGAGGGGAGGAGAGGGGAAGGTGGGCGTGTATTTCCTTTATGTTAATGCGTTACCTCACCTCTACCCCACCTAGGAGCCAATTACTCCTTCCCCACCCCGCCTCACCAAGTTTGCGTACCGTTAGTACTGCCGCCTTTTAAGCCTCTATAGCGCCCACTTCTTCGAAGAACTACTTAGCACAACCCTTTTTAATGTGCGACGAAATTTAATCTCTCTGGCTTAGCTTAGAGACCTCTTTTCTGCAGTTTTCAATTTTGGGGTGGCAATTTCGGCCAATACCAAAATAATTGTACTGCCTTTATCACAACAGTCAGAACTGAAAGCAAGTACATTTACGCGTTGCCAAGAGCGGAACCAAGCATGCTACTTAGATTTGGGTTGGAGGTTTGTTCATATTCTTGAAGTAATGCGATAGCAAAGAAATAACAAATCTATTGATACTCTTCCTAAAAAATATGTGGACGCGTTGCGTGACGATAAAAAACGGCTGCCTACGACTGTACTTTGTCAGGAGCCGACCTCCTGACTTTGTGGAAACAGGCTAGTGCTATGACGGTCAGATTTGTGACGTTCCCCGTGCGACTGAATCCGGATTCCCTTCTATGGGGCGAAACTGTGGTGCGACCCTGGTGTTCGATTACTAACACCGTAAATCCTCTATTAAGCTCCCCCCTTTCAAATAATCCCCCTGCCTCTAATAAGCCCCCCTTTTCAGAGGAAGAAAATTAATAAGCCCCTCCCCCCTGTCCCCTCCCCTAGTTTTTGTTCACTAATAAATGATAGACGTATTAATCAATCACGACTGTAATACTTCGTGTGAACTGATCCGGGATGGTTAATTTAATAAGCCCCTCGGAGGGCTTAATAGAGGATTTACGGTGGGCTCCTGGTCACTCAACTTTATGTGCGCTGTTAATTTGCTTGTCAGAAAAGTAGTCTGCGAATAACAGGGCACCGAAATTTAAGTATGCTTTTCATTAGTATTTGAATTGTGAGAGCTTAGAGAGCCATTATGGCCATTTTTGCCTGGTACAACCAAACGTGGAAGTTTCTTGAATGAGCAGTGCGCTTGAAGAGAAGAAACGAATCGTTGCTGTCTAAATAAATCAAATTTTGGCGCGTGCACTAACCGCTGACGAAAATATAACTTAAGGCCAAGAAATTTTCTAAACTTGTCCTCAGGCCTTCTCAAACATACAGAGCATTTTCCGTTGAATTTCTGTGATACATCTTACCTTATCATAAAATTTCTTATCTTGATGAACAGAGGGTGTAACAAAATAAAAGGTAGTCTTTCAATTGCCCAGTAGAAAGGAACGTTAAAGCAGAGACGTTTTGTTAGAAAATTAGGGTGAGAACATGATATGAGTGAACGGAGTACATATACAGCATTCAATCTATCTTATTTCCGGTCCTTACGAGAGGAAACGTAGAAGGTGGATTGCGTTTGAGAGAATATTGACTCGGACCGTGGCCACGGGTGTCAGAGACGTTTCATGCGTTTTTTCCGGTTTCAGCCTGCGGTCAACACCAAAGTATCCCGCCATCTGGTAAAATTAGGAATCCAGCAAATTTTTGCTGTAGAATCCGGAATCCTGGGCTTGGAATCTGGAATACAGCTACAACTCACAGAATCCGGAATTCCATTAACGATTGGAATCCGGAACCCGAGTTCCACTGACAAAGAATCCACAATCCAGTACCTCGAATCCCGAATTCATGGCATGGAATTCAGAATCTAAAGGGTGCGTTTCTTTAGGATGATCCGGATCGGGATCAGTGATCGGAGATCACTCGGATCATGGCAGATCAAATGAACCGATGAATCAACTCTGGACAAGGATTCATCGGTTGTTTTGATCTACCATGATCCGAGTGATCTCCGATCCGGCTGATCCTGATCCGGATCATCCCAAAGGAACGCACCGTAAGACTGTCTCTCCCGATCTCTTCGGTCACGCTTCTCGCATTCCGTCCTGGGGTCCTACCCAAATAGAGATGACTGGCGACAAGTTAGCTTTCTGAGTACGGTGGTGGTGGTATAACAACAACAACGTATTTATTTAAAGAAATATAAAGTTTACAATACTTCATGTCCTGCAAATAGCTACAATGCTAATCTAGGCAGGACAAGACTTTAACTAAAGGCATTATTAAATTACATAAGAAAAAAGAAAAGAAGAAATACAAAAACATACAGAAAGAAACACCTTACATATAAATTCAAGTACAAGGGATTTTGTTATTTGAAAAAGACTAAAATTACAACTGGAGGTATATACAACATATCAGGTTAACTTCACAAAATATTCTATTAAAAAATTAACATTCAAATAATTATCTTCATTACCTAGAACATTAAGGAGTAGTGATTTAATTTTTTTACGAAAATTAGAAACGATTATAAATTGATAACAAAGAAATTGGCCGATAGTTTTCAGGTAACGTCTCGTCTTCACCCTTATACACTGGAATTACTTTTGCATATTTAAGCTTTGCAGGGTAAACCCCAGTTAGTACAGAGTGGTTAAAAATTTTGGTTAATGGTATGGATATGACTGATTTAGCAAGTTTTAACAGTTTAACAGGGGTAGAATAAAGCCCCAGGGCTTTATTGTATGGCAAGCTAATTTCTGTTTCAATTTCTTGCGGTATAATTGGATCAAAATAAAAACTGTTCTGCAAAGGCGGATCAAGATAATCAGAAAAAGTAGTGTTAACTTCAGGAATATCGGTTGCAAGTTGATGCCCTATTGACGAGAAGTATTTGTTGAGTGTGTTACCAATCGTTTTACGATCATCTGATAAAACGCTATGCTCGTTAGAACGAATGAAGTTAATTCTTTTTGATTTTTTCCTTTTCTTCGCATCTCCTAATATTTCGTTAATACCTTTCCATGTCGATCGTGTATTTTTTATGTTAGAGTCGAAAAACCTTTGATAGTGACGTTGTTTACTCAATCGAATAATTAACAGTTAATGAATGAGGCTGAGTATCTTATGAAGAATTATGGAGATCGAGGAGGGTGTTATCCGTCGAGGCCGTAGGCCGAGGCGGATAACACCCTCTGAGATCTCCATAATCCTTTATATGATACGAAAGCCGAATTTAATAACTGTTTTATTATTCATTCAAAATAATACCTAGTTTAAAACATAGCTAAATCATGCTTACCTCCATCGATCCATCAATGTTCAGTTCATCTTCGATAGTGTACATCTAGGTTTGTCCAGCTCCACAAATATTCTCCAAATAGCAGATGTCGCCCTTCGAGTTGTCTTCTTGCTGTTCTTGCCGTGTTTTTAGCTATTTTTTCGCCTAGTTCTTACTCTTGAAACGAATGAAATGTCCGCCATTTTTTCAAGTTCACAACCAAAACAACTCCACCTCGTCCCCAGGTCTTCTCGGTTAACGTTGCATTTTTGACGTCATTTCCTCGTTAAAGTCAAAGTTCTTCCAAATTTGGTCATCAGTAACTGGTTATGGTGAGTTAAACGTATACTTTTAGCCAATCAGAATCGGGGAAATATTTTGAATGAATAATAAGGGTTGTTAACTTATTTCTATATATTTTATATTTCGGTCAGTTTGATTCAAAGAACAATTTATTCTTCACCTTTATAGATTTCCTTAGTCCAGCAGTTAGCCAAGGTTTATTAGTTAGCATTTTTAGTTTTCTCACTGAAGCATCCCTGAGCGGTGCATGTTTATTAACTACATGATTTATGGTTTTATAAAGGTGAGAGAACGACTTGTTTACGTCGCAATTACCAGAAACCTCTTCCCAATTAATTGCACTTAGGTCATTCATGAATTCATTAGCATTAAAGCTGGAATAATCCCTAAATTTAGTCTTTTTTGTATGTGGTAATTTTTGCTTGTTTACGTTGACAATACAGACTTGCGAAAAATGATCGGTCGTGTCGGTGACGATATTGCCACTAGAAATATTATTCGTCAGGTTATTTGTGAAGATATTGTCAATTAAGCCTGTTGGATGCACAGAGTTACCAGCTTCTAGACAGCAAGGGGCCGCGTCGCACTGCAATGGGGGGTGCTTTTGTATAACATGGACCTGGGCCAAGAAGCAGGCGCTGAGCGCAGAACAGACCGGTACCTGTTTGGATTCCTTTTCTTGTCATGGCATACTGCGACGACAACGACAACCACGGTGATTACAGCAACTGTAGCAATAACAATTCCAACTATAGTCGCGGTCGAAAGACCACTCACAGCCCGGCTGGAAGGACCGTCTTTGTGTCTTGTTCCTACCGCTTCAGGATCCAGACATGTCTTGTCATCTCCGAGTTCAGGAAAGTTCTCGCAGTTCATTTGATGGGGCCAATCAATGTTATGCTGATTCATGAATGAGGCACAGTCCGTCCTTACTCTTCTGCATAATCGTCGACACGGAAGCAAGACGTTGTTTTTGTGCGGCTCGCACCTAGGCACATAAATGTGGCATAAAAATCTCTTCAGTTCTAAAGAGCAATTCACTTTCACTAACAACCAGAATTTATGAAGTTCAAGAGCCGCTTCTGCCTGTGTGTGATGGTTGAACATATTTGGCATATACGTTGAATTATATCCGGTGTTTTCACACATCGAAATCTTGATCTTTTCGCATTTTCTCCAGTTAGAGATTTTACCAGTTGGTGACACAGCCAAAGTTGTTGACAATGTTGTTGACGCTTGGGTTGTCTCGGTTACATTAGAATGCAAACAGGTCTTGTTTTGCCCAAGCTTGGGAAATTGCTTGCATCTAAATCCCTCGGGCAACGAGAAACCATACTGACGCATTAAAGGTTCACAGCCATTTCTCGCACTTTCACAGAGTGATCGGCAAGGAGGAAATTCGTTTTCCTTGGCATGCAGCTCGCACTTCGGAGCATACACAGAGCACAAAAAGATCTTTAAGTCTGGCGAGCATTTCATTTCTACGAGAGGCCAAAACTGGTGAACTTCAAGTGCTGCTTCCTCCTGCGTATCGTGGTTGAACATGTTCGGCATGTAAGTTAAATTATAACCAGTATTTTGGCACATAGGAATTTTTATCTTTTCGCATCTTTTCACTTTGCCAAGGGTGAAGCACAACGTAGTTAAAGACAGCCAAAGTATAAACACAGAGCAATATGACACAGCCATTTCTACAGCTAATACCTGATAGCGATCAGCGCGGTGTTCTTAAGTATTGGCACAGGAAGCACTAATCAGTCCTGGAGGATAACGTAATACTTATGTCGCGTGGAAAACGGAACTCGCTCTCGAAACAGCTATTTCGAGAAAGGTTGTCGCAAAAAATGTGCACGCGACAATCACCTCGTAAGGTAATAATATGGGATATGGTCAGTATAAAACACGGACTGCGGACTGGGTATAAAATACGGACTAGGTATAAGACGCGGACTCCGGACTGAGTATAAAACACGGACTGGGTATAAAACGCGGACTACGGACTATGTAAATAAAAACAGCTTTAGAAAGGTAAAACTGAGAGAAATGGAAAGCGGACTAGCAAAAACAGTAGTCCCAGCTTTAACATTCCCTTGGCTGTTCACGTAGTCTATTCTTCCCACGGAGAAGGAAGGTTTACGTTATGCCGGTACTCAAGGCAACTGAAATTTTACTCTGAATTTTATAAAAAGAAGGAGTTAGAATAGATTTCAATTTGCAGTTTTAAAACAATAAGAAGCACCGAATTTAAAAAATGGTATTGGTGTTAGTCACATCAGTAAAATTCTTGTCGAATACCACAATTCCGAATGAGGACTGAATGAAGAACTCAGACGAGAAGGTCAATGTAGGGCATTCCGCGATGCACAAAAGCGGTATTTAGGGGGGAGGGATTACTTACATACGTGAATAATAACCGAAATGAGTCATCCAACGTTATATTCCAAGCGATGATTATGATGACACGATTTACACCCTGCTCCTGATCCCCGGAGGGGGGTAGTACTGGGAATTCTTGGTGGGGGGTGGTGCCCGGTTCTCCGAATCCTGACCTTATTGCAGACCAAAAAATGTTATTTTCCACACCCATTTTCAGACCAGATCTCTAAAATCCATACCCATTTTCGGACCTGGCCTGATTTAGCCTGTTCCAGGCTCTCAGATAGTTGGGGAGACTCCCCAGTTTTTTCCCGTTTTATTTTCGTGTTCGCGCTTTCTCAATTCAGCGGACCCAGCTATCTCTGAGCCTGGAACAGGTTAGGTATAATTAGGCAGAAATTATGTCATCATTACCAAGTTAGAGCGGAAACAAAACAAAAAAATTTTCCAAATGCATTTCGAATTCGCACATTTCTATTTTGTTCTTATTCATTTGCAATTGAAACGATAAATACGTCCATTCATGTATGCTCCCGTAGTTCCCTCGAAAAACCATACCCGATTCCAGACCAAAAAGGCCCAAAACCCCTACCCTTCCCTTACATAAGGGAGCACCCCCCTGATCCTGACCCTTTCATGATTGTTAGAGACCGAGACAAGGTCTAAAAATGGGTAAAGAAAATAGCATTTTGATCTGGCTCATGATTCAGAGAACCGGGCGGCACACCTCCACCAAGAATTCATGGGAGTATTTACAACTTTAACTCACGTTTCTTGCTATTTAGCGATCTTTTGATCTTATTTTTCCTTACCTAGAACCAATTAGCACCGTTTTTACCAAAGTAGTCCGTAGCCCGTATTTTATACCCAGTCTGCAGTCCGCAGTCCGCGTTTTATACCTAGTCCGTGTCTTATAACCAGTCCGTATTTTCCAGTCCGCGTTTTATACCTAGTCCGTATTTTATACTCAGTCCGCAGTCCGTAGTCCGTAGTCCGCAGTCCGTAGTCCATGTTTTATACTGACCGATATGGGATATGATCAATACTCTGTTCCTAAGGCACATGCCATTGGCGTGCCCCGGAGGTAGACCCCCGGGCCAACTAGGGGGTTGTACTGGGTGGAGTAAAGTTAAGGAGTTAAGACAAAGTCCCCTAGGTCAAGTGCTTCTCAACGAAAAACCCCCCTGATTTCCACCTGATATAACTGGAATTCACGTGACGCAGGGGGCATTTTTGATATTTGGGGATGAAATTTTACTCATTCGTGTACGTGTTTTAAAAGCTTGGAGAAGCAATATCATACTAAGAGGGTCTCAATGGGGTTAACCGATAGGCGTAAAACGGCCAAAAATTTAGCCGATAGCCGTAAAAATTGAAAAATTTTAACCGTTAGCCGTAAATAGGGTAAAAAAGAGTTAACCGTAAAAGAAAGTGTTCCCTAGATTTGCTACTTTTAAGGAAGGTACTAAACTCACTTATGGTTGCGTTTTTTATTTCCCGGCTAGTGTGACTCCGTACCCACGTTAGGCGAAGCGCCTTAACCAAGACCTAGGCCCCCATTTCCGGCGCTCTCCCGGGGAACTAATTTTTTCCATAGCGAAAGTGTGGCTTCCTGCTGGGGATTAATATTTGCAATTTTCCGGAGGTCGTGCCCTCGAAACACTAGTAAAACAACACGCAGAGATGTCACTGTTTGTAAAACACGTTGCCGATAAACAACATTTCCCTGTTTTTCTCTGACGCTACGGTAGACATTGTCAAGCCTAGTCCCTGTACGGCGTCTTCCCACGCAATCTCGGTCAAGGCATTTCGGAGGCGAACTTGCTCGGACCAAGTGACCCGAAACGCATTAGCCGCGCAGGAATAATGCGGCCTACGGACAAGGCAACGGCAGACAGTCGTTCCGTACAGTCCTTCGCTATCATTAAAAACACTGGACACGGAAATTTTGTTATTGGCCGTTTTCACGCTAGAGCTAGAAATGGATCATCCGTCTGAGACTAGCCTGTGTACAGTCGCGTCCTCCCCACAGACACCCCTTCTCCAAAATTTTGTGAGTGGAGGGGGCGGCTGTACACAGGCTATCTGGAACGGATGATCCTATCTTCAAAAGTCAGGCGGATTGTTCATTCAAAATTAAAACTATTCCATTTTCAAATTAAGACGTATTACCTATCTGACGCGGCGAATCATCCAACGGATAACCCGTCTCACACGATAATCCTTCTCTAGTGTGAAAACGGCCATTTCTGTTATAATGAATGTCGCGCCCCGGCCTTGAGTTGGGCGTTCGCGTGTTTGCTTTTGCTATTTCACAAAGATTATTTTTAAATTTACTATTGACATTTTTAAGTGTAAAATAATATTAGAAGTGGAATACTTTATAAAACGTATGATCTATCAAATGTTAAAATTTTTCAAAAGAATAGCTTATTTCATCGCGAGATGATCCGAAGACCTTTATTCAAAAAAATACAGGTTAATTAATATTTAACTTTTTGAAACAAAAGAAATTAATTTTTAACTTTTTCGTTAACCGTAACTGAAAAAAATTAACCGATAGCCGTAAAAGAGCCAAAATTTTAGCCGATAACCGTAAAGGCCACCACCCCATTGAGACCCTCTACTAAGCTTTATTGAACAAAAATCACTACAATCAAAGAACACCTGAAGACAGATTTCTCATCAAGTTTCTTTTTCACGATGTTGGTTTTCTCTGGCACGACTCTTTTTTTCGGCACGACTTTTCTTTTTCGGCCCGACCATTTTTCGACACGACTTTTTGTTTTTCGTGAGAAAATGCAAGGGGTGACAGGCCGCACATCTATACCGGCATGAAACCTTGTGCTAACCTTTTATACTTTAGCTCTAACGAGCATGTCCTTTAGGGATTTTCCTTTCTTGTAGGAAATGATAGGTGGTTCTTTAAAAATTTGGCTAAGTAGCGGTTAGTTTTGTATAAGATTCCATTTTTTCATTAAAACTTGTTTTAAAGTAGACACTGAGGGCTAGTACTGTGTCACAAAAGGCAATATTTCTTTTTCCTCGTTGTTGTTGTGTTTCGGGAGAGCAGACTCCCTCTCTGTGAACTTTATATGTGATGGAAGGTTTTCTATCATAGTTTGTGGGTAGCCTCTGTCAATCAAGCATTTTTGTACTGAGAGAAATGGAAAGCGGACTAGCAAAAACAGTAGTCCCAGCTTTAACATTCCCTTGGCTGTTCACGTAGTCTATTCTTCCCACGGAGAAGGAAGGTTTACGTTATGCCGGTACTCAAGGCAACTGAAATTTTACTCTGAATTTTATAAAAAGAAGGAGTTAGAATAGATTTCAATTTGCAGTTTTAAACCAATAAGAAGCACCGAATTTAAAAAATGGTATTGGTGTTAGTCACATCAGTAAAATTCTTGTCGAATACCACAATTCCGAATGAGGACTGAATGAAGAACTCAGACGAGAAGGTCAATGTAGGGCATTCCGCGATGCACAAAAGCGGTATTTAGGGGGGAGGGATTACTTACATACGTGAATAATAACCGAAATGAGTCATCCAACGTTATATTCCAAGCGATGATTATGATGACACGATTTACACCCTGCTCCTGATCCCCGGAGGGGGGTAGTACTGGGAATTCTTGGTGGGGGGTGGTGCCCGGTTCTCCGAATCCTGACCTTATTGCAGACCAAAAAATGTTATTTTCCACACCCATTTTCAGACCAGATCTCTAAAATCCATACCCATTTTCGGACCTGGCCTGATTTAGCCTGTTCCAGGCTCTCAGATAGTTGGGGAGACTCCCCAGTTTTTTCCCGTTTTATTTTCGTGTTCGCGCTTTCTCAATTCAGCGGACCCAGCTATCTCTGAGCCTGGAACAGGTTAGGTATAATTAGGCAGAAATTATGTCATCATTACCAAGTTAGAGCGGAAACAAAACAAAAAAATTTTCCAAATGCATTTCGAATTCGCACATTTCTATTTTGTTCTTATTCATTTGCAATTGAAACGATAAATACGTCCATTCATGTATGCTCCCGTAGTTCCCTCGAAAAACCATACCCGATTCCAGACCAAAAAGGCCCAAAACCCCTACCCTTCCCTTACATAAGGGAGCACCCCCCTGATCCTGACCCTTTCATGATTGTTAGAGACCGAGACAAGGTCTAAAAATGGGTAAAGA